ATATAGACATCGCATTAATTACGGAAACCAAATGAAACTGTAAACATAAACCTAGCTTTAACAACTATACACTCCTTCGGACCCACAGAATAAATTCTAGAAATGTTGGGGGGACAGGAATCTTAGTTCACCCTTTCGCTACGGCAGTGTGCTTCGTCGGAGTGACAACATAGAACGGGCTACCGTGCTGCTAGAGTAGCAGCACTGAACGGAACCCTGCTCCGAAAAGTGTGCATGATGCGCTTTGGTAAACCGGTGTTCGGACCTACATCTTTCGGTGCAGTCTCGTCATTCTCCGGATCGTACGATTCTTTAAATATTATACAAATAACATATTTGGTGACTTTGCAATTATTATGAATAAAAATATATTTAAAAATTAAAAATTACATTTTACAATAACAGACAACACAATAACGAAAAACAAACACTTTTCAATAACAAATTACAATAAAATTTTCAACAATTCAATTCACAGTGATAAATTTTAAAGAAAGGGTTTAGGTATTCAAATGATAAGAAGTGTTCACGATAAAAGTCATATTGGAGTAAAGCAGTTAAATCTGACATTAACTCAAAAATACTATTTTAAAAACATGCATAAACATATAAAACTTATTTGTCTAACATGCGACACATGTATAAGAAATAAATCGAGGTTCGGTAATTTTATTCAACCTCTCTCACAATTGGGTCCAGCGTCTGAACCCTATCAAATAATTTCCGTGGATACAATAGGAGGGTTCACCGGAAACAGGTCACCAAAAAAATACTTACATTTAGTCGTAGACCATTTCACGAAGTACGCCTTTGTAATGACCTCCACAACGCAGACAGCAAAAGATTACATAAACTTGATAAAGAAAGTTCAGAAAAAGGGAAAAATAAAATTACTCCTAACTGATCAGTACGCTGGAATAAATTCAAGAGARTTTAGGAATTTTCTAAAAGCAGAAAACATAACAAACTTTTTCACCACGGTAGATTGCTCCTTTTCAAACGGGAAAAATGAACGGACAAATCAAACATTAGTTAATTCAATGAGGTGTAAAATTTTTGAAAATAAAGACAGGCCGTGGTCAGTCATAGCGGAACAGTGTGTAGAAAACTACAATAATACAATACACAGCACAACAAAATTTACACCAAATTATCTTTTAAACAAAATTGACAAATCCTTTTTCCCCTCGGAACTTAACAAAAACAATTTAGAAAATCTAGAAAAAAAACAGAAAAATAACATTCTTAAATGCAGAAAAAATTTATAATCATAATAAAGTTTATTATGATAAACACAAACATGAAATAACATACAGAATCGGTGATCTTGTTTATATTCAGACTGGAAATCGTTTAAATCGGAGGAAACTGGATCCGCTCAGAATAGGTCCTTCTAGAATAAAGCAGAAAATATCCCATCTTAACATTTCACATGCATCCCATGCCAAATATTTATCATGCAAGTAAAATGATTCCCTATTTCCAGATTCCTGACATATGTCTGGGGTGGGGGGGGATGTAAGTTTCTGATAAGTCTAAACTATAACGCGACACGTTAGAGGGAGCCGCTCGACACTCAAACCAAGCTCGAGTCGCGAGGCCGTCGCGCTTGAGAGTCGTAACTACGTGATACGAGAAGTAACCACGTGGATATAAGCGCGAGATTCATGGCGCTTGTCACTAATAATTATAATTAACCTTTTAGATACGGCTGAATTCTGCGTGTGGGTATTTCCCTGGACGGCAGGGTTTGACGCGAACAACGTATAATTGATATAACACTGCAAARTGTRGCRGDCAATTCCGTTCTGTGCACGAGAACATTCAAATGAAGTATTTGATGATTAAGTCATAATTTTTTAAAAATTATATTACACATACTTTAACTATAACATTCCACTTTAATAACTAATAATATAATTAACTATGATAGATTTTAAAACATGGTACAATATATAAACCTACGTCACAATTGTTATATTGATAACGAGATCTTCGCCTTGTATYGTTTTTGGAACACACTATACAATTTCGTAACGTTTTTCTAGAATTTTTAGATTTACAGTGGGATGGAAAATGTTTCTCAGTTAGTCTAAACGGTTAGTCCATGGTATATCTACTGCAGCTAATGTTACTGTTCATATCCCCGTATTTTCTCGAAATTTCTTTTTGTAGTGTAAGATAAAACGTTCGCATTA